TCGCAGTACCACCTCTTCAAAATGACTTCCAGCGGCCCCGTCTTCGACACCGGGTTGGGCTTCCTGTTCTGGATACTCCTGCCTTCCTTCGTCTGTTTGGGTCTGCTCATCAGCCAACTGAGCAGTCTTCAGGCCCCGGCATCTGGAACTCTCTGGACAGCGTTCAAAACGCACTGTTGTGTCTGGGCACAGACTAAGCTCTAAAACCAGGTTAGTGACTCACACTCTGTCCGAGTTTCTTGGTCACTAACACAGTCGTGACTTTCTGAAGGACTGGTGTGGACATGTCCCCACCAACTTTGGCCTGGTGGGGATATGTCCCACCAATAATTTGCACTTTCCACTCATTTACTTTAGCCAAAGGCAACAGAGGTTGGGTGCAGCTATCTGTGTTAATAGCGTTTCCAGTCAGTGTTTTTTTTCCCTCTTTCGCGTTGCTCCCATGTCCCGCCTTTCGGTGTAACATCATCAGATCTGTCGCTTTGAGACATCTGATTTGCCTTTGCATTTCACTGACATACAAAGTAGTTAGGTGATTGGAGTAGAGACACAGCAGCACTCAGTGATTATTAACCGACAACTACTTCAATATGTTTAAGTAAAAGAAAGGAGATGGGCTGGTTAAAAAATTGAAGAGATGCCACCGAAAAATATGGAGACATACGGAGCTGTTTCAGCTAAAAACAGCAACAGATTATAAGTTTATTGAAGTTAGTATTATAATACAAGATGCTTGAGAAAACATAGTTTAAATGTTGTGTTCTTTACAATAAAAGCTCTGCTTCTCAGCGTACCATGACTCACAGTTATAGCTCAAAATTAACACGTTTTCTTATTGTACAGACAGAATCAGACTGCATAACTTCCACATATCTGGAAATTTTGTTTCTGGCATCATTATATTAGTAAAGAGCACAAAGAAATAGGGAAAGCTGCAGATTTAAAGGTGCAACAGGTTTACTAGGATATGTAACATACACCCTTGGTCACTAACCTGAGTCTTCCCTCTACGGATATTCTGGCCTTTGACGCCTTTGTTCCTGAGTTGTGGATCTGACATACGTCAAATAAACGTTTCTGTTAATCACACTGATCTGTTTACTTCAAATTCTGGGTTATCAGTTCTGAGCCCTGACAACTTTAGTTGCATGAAGCTGACACCCCACCCATGTGAAAAAACCTCAGCAACTACACTAAATAGCTAGTGCTTGGTTAGTGCAAGTTTGTGCAGTAAAAATTATAATTTGTAAAAATTGACTAAAAAATAAAGATCATGTTTGCTACTTTTGTCTAAGAGATATTAAAGATTATTGTTTAGGTTAACCATCCTCCCAATAAAGCCTGAATTGAATCAAGATGATCTACTTTTTCAGTGCTACTTAAACATTTCGGATGGTAAAACTATCATGTTTCTGATTAGTTTTTTTAAGATGGCCTTATAATCATTTTTAATTCTGGCCGAAGACATGATCTGACCAGACATAAATTAAAATGACATTCTTTAAAGATACCTAGAAAACTCTTTAGAGCATTCATTATTTCATCCTTTGTTACATCATTTCCTCCATATTTACATGTTGTGAGCTGTTTTTAAAGCTTGGACAAGCTTTATTTCACTAAGGGTTTAAACACCGATATAACATTACTGTTCATGTGTTCCTCATATGCGCATTACATTTCCATTACCGAGTATGACCAAGAGTCATTCAGTGAAATCCTATAGTCTATTCGCTGCTAGCTATTTCAAAGACGGTAAAGAATCATTTGAGGTTATTGGTTATTGATTAAGCAAATCATTTAATAAAACATTATTTAGCCAAGTAATGTTTTATTCACCTGATTGATTTGCATTGTGAATCGGTCTGAAAATATTCCAATTTCTTTAAATTAATGAAAAGCTAATTTGACCATATCCCAAATTCTTCCAGATAAACTTTGGTTTCAAACACAAAATCCATCTTAAACTGTAATATGGTTTTAAATCATGTTCCCCTAACTCTTTGTACATAGTAGTTTAGTTTAGTTGATTTTCACTAGTTTTAGTTAAGAGTGTTAAATTGAAATATGTTTGACTTGGAGCTTTATTTTTTATAAACTCTTATCTTTTGAACAGAAGTTGTGGTGAATTTATTCCATGTATGTGCAGAATTAACTGTTTGACCATGATTAGTGCTCGAATCACACTTTCATTTATTGTTCTAACATACGATATATAACAGCCGAAATAATATCTGATTAAATAAGATATTTTACCATCCCTACTGGGGAAGGCAATAAATCTCAGCTGGCTGGGAATAGAACAGAACATAAAATCACAACACGGTTTTACTTTAGAACAGTTTTGGCATCCACTTCCCTGTGCATGAATCGTGCTCTGCCTCACATCACCCCTCCCTGATCAGAGAAAGTGGGTGATTTTTTTAATTTGTGCCGCGGTTCTGTCAGCATACCCAAAGTCAATACACAGTACGTGAGTTTTGTATGAAACATAGAATTACCTCGACGGGCGTGTATCCCTTTAGTCATGTACAAAAAGAACAATTAATGTCAGATCGCCATACGCTTAAAAAAAAACACGAAAAAGTAAGTAAGTAAATTGTTTTTGTTTACATGACTAAAGGGATACAAGCCCATTAAGGTAGTTTAAAGTTTATTTTTTGTACAAAAAATAAGGGATGTGCTCATTATCCAGCTCACTTATTCGTGAATACACTGCTATTTTCCCTCCCCATAACTGTTTTCATGTTTCTGTATTTGTATTTTTATTCTCTGTAAAGTGACCTTGAGTGTCAAGAAAGGCGCTATTATATAAATGTATTATTATTGTCTGACAGAACACCGGCGTGGCACAGTTAAGGTAGCTGCTCCTTACATAAATATTCTCCAGCTGCTAATTTTCACAGTTTAGGAAGAGGCTGCTCCTCGGAGAGCAGCGGTCTGTACCACGAAGCAAGATTACCGGCTTAGTGAGATAACTTCAGGTTTCACTCAGACGAACCTCTTCTTTTACGAATATGATGCAACTGTGGCATCAGCTTCCTGCTTTGTTCTTGCACACATATTGAGTTAAAAAGTCCAACTAACCAGATGGAATTATGTTTTTGTATTTTATTTTCAGCTGCTCCTCTTCACTCCTGATGGGTTACATCTGAGTGATTAGACAGCATTAATATGCAGTGCAGGGATCGGAATGAAGGCTGTGTTAAATGACACTGATGTGTAACTTGCACAGTCAACAATCCTTTGCCATGATATGATGTCTTTTTAATTCCACCACTTTGACTTTTCAGTGAGATTTTTACTCTTTGTATTTCTCTAAGACGAGTTTTTGATCCTCACTGGAGAATGACGGCGCTCTCCCTTCTAAGCTCATGATAGATCTTTTATCTGGAAACCACCCCTTTAGATGTGGACATTTACAGAGTCATGATCAGTTCAAGCTTGAGATAGCAATGTGATAACCAGCTTGGTGGTACCGCTGATCAGTGAAAACATGAAATTTATGTCCAAACGACATCTACATTTGGTTGAAAAGTGAAAGGTGAAAAGCTACAATTTTCAGATCACGTTCAGATTACTATTATTGGACTAAAGTGGGACAAAATAAGCCAAATAAATTGACCAACCAAACACGGCCCAATTTTCAACAACTATTTCTGGACTATATCAAGACTATGACGGACCGACAACATTTAGCCTGAAAACTGACGTTTAAATGACGTCTGGTGTTTGGAGGGATCCTGATTGCTATTGTTGTAAGTGGATTGGTTAAACTGGATAGGCTTGGGGTGATCCCAGGTGGGTTGAGCTCGCTTTGAGGTACAAGCCTCAGAGATGAATGAATCAAGCCAAACACCAATCTGGTCTTGATTTTGATAAAGAAATAGCATTAGAACATAGTTAACAACTCTGAGAGTTTTATTTTACAAGATATAAGTCCTTTAAAAGAAATGTCGGGTCATATTCAGAATTCAACTTCTGAAATTACTGTAAATATGAAATTATTACATACTGTTCAATAAAGTGTTTTTAATTAAGAGCAATCTCATCTGAATGTGCTTTACTGGAGGCATCCATGTTTGTCAAAGAACACTACTGCCACCTACCAGTTTTTGATCTCACGGTGCGGGATAGGCTGTTGATCAATTCCCAGTGCCGTGTCTGGTGTTTGTCACAACACCCTATGTTTCAATATTGGCTACATATTACGTCTTTTTTCTCTGGCCAGAAGTTCGATGGCTAATCTTCCCTCTTCAAGTTGGCAATCCAACGACCAACCCGTCCGTGGAGGATCAGGAATCAGAAATAACTCTTTTTCTCACTTTTACCCGATGTATTCCAGCATCCAGCTGCCATGCACGTGGGCATTGTCAGTTTCACTATAGCTCTGGTGAATTTCAATGGTGAAGTCCTCTGGAAATCTTCAATAATTGTTGTTGATTGCAGATGTGTCTAGTAGTTCCCATTGATTTTGCTTGTAAAGCGGGGAGAATGGCGCTAGGCTTACCGCACCGTGACGTCACTGCTGATCACCACAAAAATTATTTGTTTTTATTTTTTTACTGATTATCACTAAACCCATTAGATCACTGCAATGTATTAGTTTTAGGTATAGAAAATGATCTATTGGTTATTCCTTGCTGACTGGACTTTTCCTTTAAATTACATTTGTGAGAATTATCTAAATAATTAAATGAAACAGAATCAAGTCTGAAACACATCCCGTAATTTTTAACACTGTGTAGTTTAGTAAATTATTTTTTTTTTTTCGGTTTTTAGACTTCAGTAAAGTACAGGTGTAGTGTGAATGTGTTTAGATAGGAATTAGTGTGTCCACCCAGCACACTTCTCATGTTAATGTGTCCAGCATGACCAAGATGATGGTTTTGGAATTGTGCTTGAAACTTCTCAACAAGAAAAGTTTATGACTAAACAATAATGATGGATTTCCAAAAAGAAAAAAAATATATATATTCAAAGGAAAAGAGTCACGAGAGTACTGATTAACACAGGCCAACATTTATTCTATTCTTTTGAAAGCCTTTGTAACTTCCTGTGACTTGGTTGATCAGACACGTGGGGTTACCTGCGGTAACCCTATGAACTGCTTTTGACTGGTTTTACAATCACAGAGCTACCAGTGAAGAGTGTGGGGAAGAAATCGTTAAGGAAGCTGTTCTTCAGTTTGTGCTGGAAGTGGACGTATCTCACACCAGGACCATAGCTAGAGAACACATGGGACACCTGCAGGCGGAAACAGACAGAGGCAGTTAGAAATGCAGACAACAGCAGGTCAATTACAAGGGACCCAAAAAACCAACCTCCTTCCAGTTGTGGGAGTAAACACTGAGGTCCTCTGTGGGCGCAGCTGTGTGCTCTGAAATCACTGTTATTTTGTCTGCAGCCAGCAGCTTTACATGCAGCTGGTAGATGAACTCATGCAGCTGACTTTCCTCATACCTGTTAAAATAACACATCTCAGTAGCTCCAAAAATGCATGTTTGTTAGATGATTAATGTCACTGATAATATAATTATTTTCATTTATAATTATTCCTAAATATATATATATATATATATATATATGTGGAGACTGTTTTACTGTTAGCAGATACACAATAACACAATATGTATATACATCATGATCCAGACCAGATCAAAGCAAGAGAAAATAAGTCTGATAAAATTTGCTTTGATTTAACTAAAATCTTAACTAGAACCAAAAAGCATTCTGTGGGATGCAGGATTTAGCCTCTCTATTTCTTATGACCACGTTGATCAACACCGGCTGACTTGTTTTAAAAGGTGAAAGGTGACATCAAGAATTTTTAACCTGATCCTCAACCTGGTAAAACAAACAACGAACCAATCATTACTGATACTGAATGATATGAAAGGCTTGTGATACATTTTCCATCCATATCAAACAGCCCTAGAAAAGAGTGCTCTCACTATTGCTTTGTATCAGTTAAATTGAAAATGCTTCTTCAAATATCTGAAAAATTGGTCTGTTTCAGAGCCTAATGCTGATTTCACACTGGACGCAGGAGGCGCAGCAGGAGCAGTGAGTTTCCATGCAAAGTCAATGGTTGACACGCGTCAAGGTGCAGCAAAAGGTCCCGCAGAGCTTTTTTTTGCTGCAGGCGCAGCGCATCTGAGCAGCTGAAGCAGCGCGTCTGGAGCGTTTAAGTATGGCAAGCCAAGAAGGCCACTATTCGCATTGAATTATCACGTTAAGATTGAAAGTAACCCGCTAAATCGTTTCCCGATATTTCGCCGCTTTTTTCGCCGTCTTTTACTAACAAGCGCTGTCTTTTACGTGCGTCATAATAGTACCGCAAGACGCGCGTATTTTACGTGCGTTGTGTTGGTAAGGACACAACGGACTATTGTACGTGCCAGACTATTGTAATTCTTTACTATCAGGAAGTCCACAAACTGTAGTGAAAAGTATGCAACTGTTCCAAAATGCTGCAGCCAGAGTTCTGATGAAAAAGAGAGATCATATCTCTCCTATCCTTTTCTCTTCATTGGCTTCCTGTTAAAAATCAAGAATATAATTTAAAATCCTCCTTCTCACATATAAAGCCTTAAATGGCCAAATTCCATCTTATATCAGAGATCTGATTGTTCCTTATATTCCTTACTACATTTCGCTCTCAATCTGCATTTTTTTTTTAAAGGAGAGGGAAGTTCTTTTCAAAAATTCAGGAAAATCTTCCTCTATACCTTTAAATATATATATAAAAAAAACATGGATCATGGCTTAGTTGGAGACCAGCTCACATATGCTACTAATGTGTAAAAAGGGGAAGCTGTTTCTAAGCAGAGAAAAGTTGAGACAGTATGATGTGGTAACATCCCAGAAATAATCAATCACAACTGCACCTTGCAAAAAAAACATACTACATTCTAAATGGCTTGTTTTCACCACATATTAATGAGCCTGTCTCACTGCATCCAATCATGTCTGCCATTCAGGGTCATTGAGAATGTTTTTTTTTTTTTTTTATCTAGGCAGCATCAAATTCAAAAGTCTTAGAATTGCTCTCATGGCATGGGGATGGAGGAGAGTGCTCAGTGACGTACCAATCCTGAATAACTATTTCAGGCAGAAAGGTATCCAACAGCTCATCCCACAGTCCCTCTGCCTTAAGGTCCACCAGCTGCTCCAAAGTGAACCAGCTGAAGACAAGGGAAAAAAAAAGAACACAATTAAACCCTGCTGTAAAAGCTTGAACTAAATGTACTTCTTGGTTTTAATGGTACTTTAGTACAATTAACCCACCTATGCCTTGGCAACCCACAGACCACTGCTCCCTCTGGGATGCCACTGGTGTCATATGGCAGGACCTCTGTGCTCGTGGTCCAGCCAGCAAAGTCACCTCAGGTATAAGATAATATTCAGAGTTCACAAAACTTTATTTTGATTATATTTCTTCCAAAAAGATTATGATTAGCTCTGTTTCTCACCATCAGGCTGAAAGCGTGGAGGGCCACTTGGGGGCACATCTGGCAGTTCAGGTTCAGGTGGAGGGCTGTCCTTACTAAACCCTGTCCAAAGATTTAGGGAAAATCCACTATGATGAGCTCTGGAACTGCAGTGCAAACATCACAACAAGAACAATCCGGCCTTTGTTAAGCAGGGTTACTTGGTTTAGACAAGTTTAGGTATTAGTCATTTCAGGGAGGGATTTACCATTAGGCAATGCTAGGCAGTTGCTTATGGCTCCAAGTTGCTGGGAGCCCAATAGAACTTTGCTTACATGTTTGGTAAATACAATTGTTCCTTTATTTGTGCATATTGATTATGTTTTTGTTAAAAATCCTTTCGCTTAAAATGCCATCAGAAGGTTTATAATATTAAGTGTGTCTCAGTAACCCCCCCCCCCCCCCCCCCCCACCACCACCACACCTTCGGTGTCCAACATTGAATCAGCTCATTTGCTGCACATGTTCAGAAAGGTTCAAATAGACAGCAGCAAACCATTTGAAAACAAACGATGCAAAGAGCGTTGCTGCTAACTTACTGCTTATGTTGCTACTTTTAGCGACTTTTCAGACCCTCTAGCACTTTTATTTAAAACTCTGCTCTCCAGAGCAAGTAGATTGGTAACCCCGCCTCCTGCTCTCCTCTATCTTGTCTGCTGTCATGATTCATGCAGCTATTATTTCATCCAAATGAAAAATGGAGAACAGATAAGCAGATCATGGCTTGTCTACAGTGAAAAGAAGGACTGGGTTATTTACTTTGGCCTTTTTGGAAACACAGGAAGGAGCAATCAGCTAAGTGAGCTTAGTGCTTGGAAAAAAGCTTTCATTCCTTTAGAGACAGCATGAAAAGTCAGCTGAGTACAAAACATAGAGAGGAGAACATGAAGAAAAGGGACAAAATCTAGAACAAATAATGGATGTCTATTCTATTAACACTTCTGCATCTGTGGAATGGGTCTATTCTTATGAGTTGTCTTCTCAGTTCAGAGGGCCCCCTACCTGTCTTTGCCTTGGGCCCCAAATTTCCTAAGTCCATCCCTGGGTCATGCCCATCCAAGGCTGGTTTTAAGACACAGTCAGCTTTAAAATATGTAAAGTTTTAAGTTTCCACATAAACAGTGACCAACATTCATATCATCTATAGTCCCATTTGGAGTATTTTAAAACATGTTAGAAGCCACAGGCCATTTCACTAATGAGGAACTAGTAAGACAGGATTCCAGAAATTAGTATTTGACAGATTTACCACCAAGCTTTAAATAATGTTTTATTTTATAGAATATATATAAAATATCTGTCACTGCTAACTTATGGATTAAGTCTCAGTATGAGGAAACTACAGACAAATCCTCTTGCTATGGCTTATAGAATAGATTGTTGATTTTTTTCCCCCTTTTATTTGCTGATAATTCTTTTCGTATCTGCGATCACAAGAAAACAATCAGGTAAAAAAAAAAGTTAGATAAGTTGTTTCTGAAACTAGGACGTTACTGACCAATCCCTTCCAGCAGGATGATCAGATGATCTACTTAATGCATCTGATTCATCTGAAAGGTGACAGTTCAGACACATGAGTGTAACAGTGATATGGTACCGAGAGGAGACGGGTTCTTCAGCAGGTTCCGTCCCAGTGGTTTGGCTTCATACACGGACTTCCAGTCCACATCGTCGGGCATCGGAGCTCCCCGTAGACCCCACTCAGCCTCACACTTCTGCTTCCACTGCGCGGCTGACATCGTGCGTGACGGTTCCGTGTGATGTTGCGCTGTTCTGCGGGGAGCAGGAAGCTCTAAGACTTTTATGCAGCTGGAGCCCCACCCTGGTGTTGCAATGTCAACAGAGTACTCATTTTAAAGGCGCAGCATTAGAGGCCTGTTACACGAAGCAGATTACTAGGTTAACTTCAGCTTTATCCCTGGTTTTCCAGTGTGATCGATTAGCTGGTGGCAGTAGCTGGAAGCTAGGTTTGGCTTTTTCAGGACACCATTCCCGAACCAGGAGATAAACTACGTTTTAAAAAAAAAAGAAAAAAAAAAAGGTTTATTTATAAACCTGAACAACCTGGAGAAACCGACCCAGGTTGCGTTCATATTTACAGAAAGGACAATTAGAAAGTAAAAGAACCCCATTAGGTATGTCTCATCAGTTCCAAAGTCCATTGAATTCACGTGTTTCCCCCGGCACTACTTCGCCGTAACACCAGCCTGTGGCTCTGTTGGAATTCATGGGCTGCCATGGACGGGGTCTACCTAGGGTCTGTTCGAAAACCTAGGACGTGTCCTACAAGGACGCGGTCTACCTAGACTGGATCCTTCGAAGTCCATGAAAATAAGGAGACCGGAAGAGTTTAGGCTGTGAATTCGACCAGGTCGGCTCTGTTGCTTAGCAACCGAGATAGTTGATACACAAAGCAGGAAATGAATCAATACCGAAGTTTTCAAAACTGTTTATTTTTTTATTGTAAAGTGAACAAAGACTACACTCATGAGAATCCAGAGTGGAATAAAGCATAAATAAATAAAAGACAATGTCATTTTGCACATCTCTGATGTTGCTGCTAGTTTCAAATATCCATTACTGTAAAAATGTCCATAGCTGGATATTGGTTATTTATTCTCCAGGTGCACAGTTTAATATTGTTAAAACGCTTTACAGTGTTTTATTGTTTTTATTTTAACTCTTCCCTATTATGTTATTCTTATATATTTTCTAAGGTCCTCATTTGTGTGACCATTTTCAATAATCTTTCTACTGCTGTAAATTAAAAGAATATATCTGCAAAATCTCTAAGATTCAACAAAAAATGTCTTAGTTAAGCATATTGTGCAAAACAGCAATAAAAAAAAATTAAACTCCTATCAGATTTATAGTCCCCACTCTGCAGATATATTAGAATCTGTCCTTAAATTACAGCCAAACTCATTTACACAGTAACAGAAACTTTTAGATAAACCAAACATTACTGCCACATATCTGCCTCAATAACCATTAAAACAACTATTTGTTTAATTTCAGATAGAACTATTCACAGACTTGTATTATATTAAACTGCACTTCCAATTTTCACCACTGTTCGGCGCCAAGTAACCTTTCCTCTGATCACAGAGCAGCCAGCTTGCTTGGTCTCGCAATGAATCCTGGGATATCCAAGGATGCATCGGTCACGTCATTCAAATCGGGCATTTTATTTTTTATTTATTTTTTTATTAAGTCAACAAACATTTACATGAAAAAATACTCTCAGAGAGGACAGCAAAGGTGTACATGAACAGATAAAGATCAATTACAATAAAAGAAAAACAAAAAAAAAGTAAGACAACTAACAGAGGATTTATCATAGCAAACATTTAAATCAAACATAGACAAGGCCATAGAAATAGTAAAAACAAAAAGGTGAATGCACTTAGAATAGCAGATGTTTGGAGGAATCAAGTCTCAATTTTTTGGCATGTTTGTCATTTTTTTATCTTTTTAAGAGAAGAAAAATAGGTTTTAAAGTCATTAATAAACCAGTGAAAGGAAGGTTTAGAATTTCTCCATTTAGCACAGTGGATGTGATATTTACCCAACAGCAGCAGGACATTAATAGTATCAGAAACAGTCTGGGGAAGATGGTCCATATAAAAAATGACATCATTTAGTGCAAAAGGGGGGACATAATTAATTTATAAAGAAATCCAATCTTTCAACTCTTTACAGAAGCTATGTGTATTAGGACAGAGGTAAAACATGTTCAACGGTTTCACTATTATTATTACAAAAGGAACATTGATCCACCTCAAAACCAAATCTTTTTCTAAAAAATTCTGCCACAAGATATATTTTATTTATAACTTTAAAATGTGTCTCTTTAACTTTAGGTAGAATAGGCCATTTAACAAATTCTGAGAATGCCTTATGGACTGTATCTGAATTAACATATCGCTCTTCCAAGTAAATCTATCATAGTCAAGAAATTTTCTGGCTTTCAAAAAACTGTTAATGAATTTATTATTGCATTTTTCATCAAGCAAATTGCATTGTGAAATCAACAAACTGGGCAATATTGGTGGGTAATAATTATTTAACCTAGAGTTTTTTATTAATTGAATTAAAAGCAGTGGAAATGATTTACACAGTTTGTTATATTCTCTTATAGAACAATTAACATTATATATATATTTTTAATCTGAATAATTTATAGTATCGCTGTTATCATCCAATAAATCAGTAACATAAATAATGTCTTTGTTAAACCACTCCCTTTTGAAGATAGATTTGCGATTAATTGTTATTACTCTATTTGTTCCATATAGTTAAGCTATGGGGAGAATAGCTGTGGGTGAAAATCATTTTCCAATACTGCAAAATCTGCTTGTAGAAGTTGGACAGCTTGATTGGAATCATGTTTATCTCAAAGTCACATTTTAGAATAAAGTCTAAACCTCCTAATTTATCAAACAATGACCTTGGAATGTGATACCACATAGAATTCGGGTGCAGCATATAAGATTTGATCCAGTGATTCTGAAGGTGCCAACCATTGATTCAATAGCTGGAGCTTTAATATCCCCTTTATGATATTCTTTCACCAACAGATTTTTTATGTAATGTGTTTTATTCCTCCATAAAAATTTAAAGATTATTGTGTTTGCTTTACTTATAACATATAAAAGTTTGCTGCTTTTATATGTTGTTGGGGAACTGTTCATTTTCCAGTATGATGGTCAGCAAAACGTTGGCTTTTAATGTCAGTAAGAGTAGTAGGAAGTATATCAACAGTTACATCCTCCTAATTACTTTGTTTGATACTAGCCAGAAATTTATCCTAGACAGCCTAGTTAAAAATATATTATTCCAAATGAATAAAATGTCATGACGATGAATAGCTTACCAAATATCAATCAAGTTAAATTTTTCCATAAAAGATTTGACAGTTGAATGGAGACATTAGGTTTGCTAGGAGGCCATTTATCACGGTCCCCATCAAGAAATCCCCTCCAGTGATAACTATAGCTTTGGGAACTTTATTTAATTCAATTCAGTTATTTATATAGCGCCAATTCACAACACATGTCATCTCAAGGCACTTTACAGTTCAACCAGATCATACAGTCAAATTGATTCAAAGTTTTCTATCTAAGGAAAACCAGTTGATTGCATCGACTCATTGACTCGAATGCAATCCCTCACACTAAGCATGCTTGTAGCGACAGTGGAGAGGAAAAACTCCCTTTTAACAAGAAGAAACATCCAGCAGAACCAGGCTCAGTGTGAGCGGCCATCTGCTGAACGTGTCTCCAGTTTCAAGTTTCTGGGGACCCACATCTCAGCGGACATGTCCTGGTCAACCAAAACCTCCTGCCTGGTCAAGAAGGCTCACAGCGCCTCTTCTTCCTGAGGACACTGAGGAAGAATCAGCTCCCCTCACTATCCTGGTGAACCTCTATCGCTGTGCAATAGAAAGCATCCTGACCAACTGTGTAACAGTGCGGTACGGAAGCTGTTCTGTTGCAGAGCGCAAGGCACTGCAGCAGGTGGTGAAAGCTGCCCAGCGCATCACTGGAACTGCACTACCCACCATTGAGCACATCCAGGAGAAACGCTGCTTACATCGAGCCCGCAGCATTCTGAAGGACTCATCCCACCCAGCCCACACACTGTTTTCTCTCCTACCCTCCAGCAGGCATTTCCGGTGCCTCCGGACCAGAACCAGCAGACTAAAGAACAGCTTTTTCCCCAGAGCAATCTCTTTACTGAACCCTAACCCTCACTGATGGACTCTACTCTCCTTCCTCACACCTACCACCATTTTGCTATTCTGTTTTTTACAATGCTGTAAAGTTCACCTGCTCTCCTGACTGTTACTATTATAACAACTGTTTACATGCATCTTGCACTACTCACCTTGACTGAATATTGATCTGCACTGCTGACTGTTTATATTTGCACTGCCGACTGTTTATATTTGCACTGCCGACTGTTTATATTTGCACTGCCGACTGTTTATATTTGCACTGCCGACTGTTTATTCGCAGTACCAATTGTTTACATCTACATTTGCAATAAGGTACTTTAAGTATAATACGCAATTACCTCCCACTGCACTTTAATTTAGATAGCTTCTGTCCAAACTTTATTTATTCATTTTATAGTAAATCCATCTGTATATATACTCTTGTACATAACTTTAAAAACCCTTTTTATAGTAATATCGACCTGTATATTATATTCGGTACATGTCCAGCTGTAAATTTTGTTCATAACACTAGTTATCTACATATTATATGCATCTATTAGTAAGCTTCTGTTTATAATGGTATTCATCTCTATACTTATTCAGTGGAACCATTATTATCCTGGATTTGCTGCTATTGCACTTCTGGTTAGACCTAAACTGCAAACTGCCTTGTACCTTTACCTGTGTAATGACAATAAAGTTGAATCTAAGCTAATCTAATATATATATATCAATAATGTAACAGTCGTGCTTTTGGACTGTGGGAGGAAGCCGGAGTACCTGGAAAAACCCACACATGCACAGGGAGAACATGCAAACTTCATGCAGAAAGACCCTGGACCAGGAGTCAAACCCAGAACCTTCTTGCTGCAAGGCAGCAGTACTCACTGCGCCATTGAGCAGTGGGTAGCAGTGGATCATTACTAATGAAAAACAGATCATTCGCAATCATCTGTTTTTTGACACAGGCATGTTCAAGCAGAAATTCACCTAAAATATGCTGGACAAGGCTTAGGGGACTGGAGTTTTAGACCTGTAAGTTAAAATTACTGCTCTCTTTGGTTCCTCTATGGACTGGCATAAGACTTC